ACCTTGGTCTCCAAGAGTACTGGGATTACAGGCATAAGCTACTGCACCTGGCCCTGAAAAATTTGAGTTTAATTTTCTGTATGATGTCAACTAAATTTCTCCCAGTTCAGGCTTCTCAATCCATATAATAGTAGCCTCCTTCACAGAATCTGTGTAATGATTACATAATATAATATACATGGAAGTGTCCAGCACAGTGTTTGGCACAGTGTTTGCAATGAATATTTGCATATATGTTCATTCATTCATCATTCTGATCCTTTACAACTAAACTTTGCCATGAAAACTTTTCTTACTATAGCCCTTCAAAGTCTCAACTATGACCACCTCTACCTCTCATTCATGTCTAAATACAAAGTGTCAGTTGGCATTCCTCGAGTAGGTTTCTACAGATATATCAAGTACCTTAAATGAGAAACCCTACTTCACACTTCTGTGGCATAGAGGAAGTACTAAAAATTTTGAATCCAGTACTACTCTCTTTTAATTATCAAGAAAGTTTCATACCAAATTAGCACATTGTAGCAGATGACAAAATAGTTAAATACTACTATTTCATTTCAATCACAACTCAAAAGGAAGGTCAGGTAATGAATGTTTTATTTCTATAACAAAATGATACATTGCTGAATGCCAATATTTTCTGATATAAGTATACATAAACATATATATGTTGGCATAAAGGAGATACACATTTTGGCATATTTATTAGAAATAGCACATGAGTATTTTGTAAGTTATCTAGAATTTTCTAAATTGACATTATCTTACATACTACAATATTTGTCTGATAACCAGTTAAGTATCTTTCTTTGATCTGTCTTTTGCAAAGCATTTGTTTTTGTTTAAATGACTTGATATTTGAGTTCACTGTCTTTCTTGTGTTTGCAATGAATTGAATAGTTAGAAGCTACTGTATACTCTTATTTTACTTCTAAGATTATAATAAAATCATTGGCATTGCTTGTGAAGTTTTAGAAGATAACTTTTTTAAAGGGATAAGCTATGCTTTTGTTATCTTCCACTTCAAATAGCTGAGCTGTTCCATCATCCACCTGTTTCCATTCACCTTAAAAATATAGATTTGCTCACCTATTCCAATCCATTTGACATGGGGTTCTCCTCAGTTACTTCTCTCTAAAAGCTATGTCTTTCTGTTTCACTTCACTGGAAACTACCGGAATACTCATTTTTTAAAAGTGTTTCAAAAATTACCAAGGTAATATACACCTATTGTAACAAATTCAAATAATACTCAAGTATATAGAGTTAAAGGTAAGCGTATGACTCCTACCTAGCAATCACACATCCCTTCCCAGAAGTAATCCCTATTAACTGTCTGGTCTGTTTCCTTCCAGACTTTACATTTTACAAATATATGTAAACATATAGGTTCATGAGTTTAAAACTATATTGTATATTTACTGTTAGTCTTTTTTTCTTTTTGCTTAACATGTGCTGCTACTTATTTTTCCTTTAGCAATACATTATAAACATCTTTGTGTATCTGTATATATGGACTAACTTCATTTTTTAAACTTGTGAATAGAACATGTATATGTAATTCCATTGAGCCTTCCTCCTGCTGATAGACATTTAGGTTGGTTTCCGTCTTTCCTTATTAACAACACTAGAATACATATCATTACATGCATATATTTGTGTACTTAGATGAGCATTCTTTTGAAGGTAGAGTCCTAGAAATGGAATTTCTGGACTAAAGAAAACGTACATATTAAATTTTGATAGATACTTCCAATTGCACTCCACAAAGCATTTATCAGTGTACACCCTATTTCCAACTACATGTGAGAGTCTATATTTATCCTCACCTTTTATAACATTGGATATTATCATACTTTTTTTACAATAACTTTTAAATAATTTATATTAGCAGTGTCTTGCTAACCCTACTTCTTCTGAAACAAATATATTCAACATAATATGTATACATTCTAGCTTATTATTGAGATCTTCCCCAACAGGATGATGGTGCATTTTAAAGTACCCAAATCTAAGACCAAAATTGCAACCCTAGTAAAATTGAACCTCTTTTTCATGGTCTCACTCATATGTTTGAGCTAAATGGTCACAAAAGTGAAAATAATACGCACTGGGAACACCAATAATAGTGGAGATTAAGAGGGAGGGTCAGAATTCAGAAATTACCTGTGGAGTATAATGTTCACTATTTGCAAAGTGAGTCACCTGAGACCAATTTCCACTACTACACAATATGTTCATGTAACGGACATGCATATGTACCCCCTGAATCTAAAATAAGGATTTTAAAAAGTGAAAAATAAAAAAAGGAATGTATGTGTATCTCTTAGATGAACATTAGTGGGACAAAAGTGCCAGACTTTCTGTGGGAGAAATGAAGGGAATTAGAGAGGTTAATTTTGCTTCTTTGATAATGGACGGTAAATGTTGTAAAGACATGGTAAGCAAAGTGGCAAAAGGTTTTTGCTTTCTTCTAGAACAGTAGTTCTAAATAGCTTTAAAGAGACCTGGGATTCCCAGGAGATATGAGACTGTGCAGTGGGAACTGACCTTCAAGTTGCCTGCTCTTGCCACATCTCTTGGTGGGAAATTACTGTCAAAGCAATGCAGACTTACAACTTCAGTGATGGCTAGGTGTGTAGCAGAAAGAGGACAGAGGAGGAACAATTGCAGGCTTAAGCTCTCTTCCTCCCTCATCCCAACTTTCTCTGTGACTCATATCTGTTTAATGTATGAAGCTTTAGAGCAAAATGCTGTTTGAAAGAAAAGCTCTGCTACTAAAAAAGAAAAAAAAAGATGGCTAAACATCTTTGTTTTAGAATCTAACTAAAAATCTTTCCAATGACAGCTCTGCTATACTTATAGGAGGCAATAAACATTTTAATCTAATTTTTCTAGTTGCATATAATTGGGCCAATCATTTGAATTTGTGGTCTTGGGAAGAAATTGAAGAGGTCCAATGGTAGAAACTGTTTAAACTGTTTGCTTGAAGAATCATCCCAAATTGTACCTTTAGGCAGGGATTGCATAAAATTTAATATTACCCTGCTCTCTTTCCTCACTCAGCTTAGGTACTGGCTTCTGGTTTAAATAGATCTCTTGGTTATTTCCTCCAGTTTGAAGGAAAGACTGAGAGTGCTGGGCTCAGGAGCTCAATGTTTAGGGATATGTTTTCTTAAGGGATTGACCTGCAGGTTGCCTCCTCCTCCCACATCTCTTGGTGGGAAATCACTCTAGAGGCAATGCAGACTTAGAATTTCAAGATATTACTAAGCATTTCAGCTCTGCTCTTGGCTGGCGGCAACTCTTCTCCCCTATCTAAGATCTATATTAATCTGTGGGCATGCATCGGCTGCGCCACCCTCCTCCAGAAGCCAAAGGATTTCTCCAGAACTTCCAGAAATCAAGCAGCTTCATCTTCATTTTTACCAGTGCAGTGCAGCTCTTATTACCAAATTTCCAGGCATTACATGCTTAATATTTCCAAGCTTTGCATTTTATTATTAGTTAGGAGAGTATCTACTTGAGCAGAGGTGTTTGCTGCTTTTGTCAGCACTACTATTAAAAACCGATCAGAATATTAGTTTAAATGCCACTTACCCATGATTCATCACCTGTGAACTAAGGTACCTTTGTTTTAGACAAAGAAAATGTTCGCTAGTCTGATATATTAAGGATGAGTTTTGTGATATACAATCCTTTGAGACACTGTGAAAAAAAGAGTTGCTGTGGTCAAATACATTTGGGAAACATTGTCTTTCTTGGTGATTTAAAATATGCATTAGAAAGGCAGAGTGCTAAAAGATATTTTTTGAATTTATTTGATCCTATTTTAAAATTCTTCATCCCAGTCTCTCTTTTTCCCTTCCTCTCTTTTTCTTCCTTCCTCTATTCCTTTCCTTTTTAGTAACATTGCTATTCAGGAGTCTATGGGAAAGATTTTTGGAAAACACTGCACTTGCCTGTTTAACAAAAGTTTGTAGGGGCAGATTTTTCCTTTTCTCTGTAATTAAAGGGTCAGCATTATGCCTGGTACAAGGTGAATACTCAACAAAATTTTGTTAAATTGAAATGAACAAGAAAGTACATTAACAAATGCCAAAACATTGTGTTGAAATTTGTGTTTAAAAAGCACACCAGTTATATGATGCCAAACATTTGGGAGTATTACAAAAATACACTATTTTAAAATTGAATACAATTAATGAACTTTGGGTATATAGATCAGAATCACAGGATGTCAGATTTAGGATAAGCCCTGTTAGGCCTCTAGTCGTGATTTTATAGACAGGGCATAGGCATAGATAAGGTATTATCTTTTGCATTGAATTTATAAAGAGATTGAAATAGTTATTTTAAGGAATTTAAATATAGAAATAAGATGTGAGTTCTGGGCTGAAGCCAAGTGAACTCAAACTCGGCCTCTGTTACTCCCTGGCTGAGGGAATGTAGGCGAATGTATGTGTGCCTCAGTTTTCTCATTTGTAAATGGTAAATGTAATTGTACTCCCATCAAAGGGTTATAACTCCCATCATGGTGATAACTTAATGAGGTTAATCAGGTAAATAACTAAGCATAGTATTTGGCACATTAAAATGATATTCAATATTAATATTATTAAACACATTATCAGCCAGAATTGCATTGTCCAAATAAAATAAGAGGTGACACACAATTCTACAGAGAATTTGGGAGATCTCTGGGTCGGGAGGAAGGCACTGTATAACTGAGGTTTCCATATTGATAGTCCCCAATACTAGGTTTATGTGTAGCATTTTTTATTTTTTTGGAGAAGAGTCAATTCTGTCTTGAAGGCACAACTCATAAACCCTCCAATGTGGGGTGGTGAGTGGACCCTGTGTTTGGGCATTTCATAGGCTCAGGCAGAATCCTGTTTACCCAGAAATCCCAGGAATACAATATTTTTAAGACAAACCACAGAAGGAAGGAAGTCCCCTCTTTGTGAAGTTCCCAAGCCCGAACCACCATTTCCTACCTGAATGGGTAGGCAAATGCTATGTCAATGCTGAGGTTGCTTTCCGTCTTGTTGACACAGTCCACACTCAGCCGCAGGCCTCCGGAATAGCCACCGCATGTTGCAAATGCAAAGATTGCAAAAAGCTGTGAAGAACAAATAAACAAAAGAGAAGGACTCTATTAGGAGATGTCACTCTGATGAGATGCATCAAAGGAGCTTAGTGTCTGGATTGAGGTTGGTTATAGTCCTTCCGAAGAGCAGCATCATATTTGGTTCAAGCTGGATGATAAAATGTAGAATGTTGGTTGGGACTGGGGAGGTGGTATCTAAAAGAACAGTCTGGCAAGCTAGAGAAATGCTGCTTGGAGAGTAATTAAAGACAAGGACAAAATATCTCTGGTTGAGTATGTAAAGAGCTTTCATGCCTCAGAGGGTAGAGATGTAATCCCACAAAGACCCAGAAAGCAATGGACCTGCAAATTAACAATAGATGTTTCCAGGTATAGAAAGCCTTTGGCTCTTTGCTTTCTTCTTTTTGTTTCACTGCATTTTCTTCAATAAGTATGATTTGTCTTTTGGAATAATATATTGATTTTTGAAAAGGCATGGTCAGAGAATTCTAGAGCCAAAATCTGAAGAAGAGTAGATAAATATGTAAGAGATGCTATTTCATAGCACAAGATCTCAGTATATTTCAGGGTCAAACCCCCATTGGCGGTTACATCTCTGTGTTGGTTGCTATTTCTAAGTCAACTCTCAAAAGTTTCAACTGGTTATTAGTTCATAATGTCATAATTAATTCTGGTATAGAACATGAATCTGTGGGGAACTAGGCACTGAAAGTTAGCAGATACTCGAAGAAGCCTTTTAGAAAGAAGAGACACCTAGGAAGTTGGATATCGCCTGAAAGGGGAATAAGCAAATGTCAAACTTTGTCTATTTCATAGTTTGGCTAAACTCAAAAGAATTTCCAACTTATTTATTCAGCTTCTTGTACTAGCTTGGGTTCCTATTAAAAACACTAGCTTACTTTGCATAATGAGAGGACTTGTGTAGGGGTCAAATGCATGGGCTCTGGAATGTGACCTTGAGCAAGTTGCTTAATTTCCCCATTCCTTGATTTCATCATAAAAAATGGCATTGATAATAACTCTTCTGGGTTGTTTTGCTATTTGTGATATGAGGCAGACAGTTGCTGTGGGCAAGAAGCCTACCGGAGCTGACAAGATCACCAAGTCTGTTCAGAAAGTTCAGAAGGTGAAATAAATATTATCTATAACACCTGCCACCTCAATTTTAATCAGTGGTGGAAAACAACCTCTGAATTATTTGTCTCTATTGGCCATTTAACTTTAATAGGAAAAGACTGTCTAATGATGACAAGGCATTGTAAAACCTTCACAGGGAAAGCAATGTTTTGTGGACTATTTTTGTATGTGTGGCAGTTTTAAGTTATTAGTTTTTACAATCAGTATTTTAAAAATGGAAACAACTTAACTAAAAGATATAGTAGTTGTAGTTAGAGCAAAATGTGTTAATATATGTTAATATGTGTAACGATCTTAGAAAAATCCTGGCACAATGCAAATACTCAATAAATGTTAAAAAAAATTATAACTATAAATAGTGGATGCCCCTTGATAAGATGTTCCAGGCCTTAAAATAGGAAATTTAGACTTAATCCTTATCTAAATCTATCTGACTGTCAGCCCCTGTGAACCAACATCGAAACTGCCCAGAAAAACTGATCTTTCTTACTTTGTTTGCTTTTCTTGCCTAACTGTTAGCTTTTCTTGCCTCAGATTTGACGAGGCATTGAAAAGCAATTCCAGCCCACTCCATAATCTCACAGAACACCAGGACAGAAGTGAAACCGGTCTTTATCTCCGTGGTGTGGACTTGCTTGCTTCTTGTGACAAAATGCTCCCTTCCCATCAGTTCTTACTATTAGTAGGATTAAAAAGAAAGTGATTTTGATTTTTCAATGCTTAAATCTAGGTTTCATCATATAACACTAGAATCCCAGCCCATCATTTCATAGCAAGATAGTGTCTTTGGTAACACTTATTCCAGAAGAAGGAATGGAGCGATAGAGTCTGAAACCCCATGCTAGGGTTATGGAGATAGGATAGTCCTTTCTGTCTCCAAGTTGCTGCATCTGTAAATCAAGGCTATCTCTTATATCCCCCTAACTCCCTGTGGGAATGAAATGAAATGCAGTAAATATTTATGCACTGCCTTCTTTCAATTCATGCAATTATTCATGTGATACTTATATTTCTCTGGAACAGGAATCCTTAGTGGGTAATCAACAGTTGCACACATAAGAGTAAGGACAGATTGTCCATTGTGGCCATTTTAAAGAGCCTATGGGCCAGGCATTGTGCTCAGCACTTAACATATGTGTTCATATTTCCTAGAGACCTCAATGTCATGAGGGGTGTGTATGTGTATGAAGTTTAATCGTTGTATATTAAATATATGATAGAAAAGCATAGTCACTTCAAAAAGTTGCAATTCAAAAATTCCTTGGGACATCAAAATGTAGTAAGTTAGAGTTGAAGGGCATAAAAGCAAATCTAGTCAATTTCAGTGATTAATAGCTATGAAGAAACTACCATGACTTTTCATCTTATATTAAAGTGCCTTATATACAGTAAGGTATTATTAATGCCGTCATGTAACACACTTAAGATGGAATGATAATTATGTATTTAACTAATTCAAAACATTAGATACATGGAAAGGAGGTGTCAAGACTATTGAAACCACATACACCAGTATTCTTTCTTTTCACTGCTATTGAGCTCTAAAAACATAAAGACGTTGTACATGAGTTAAATATGATACCTATGGGTTTTCTGGCTCAGTTTATCCTTTTCCCATAGTCTTCACTGATTAAAGGGAATTCATACTGTGTGACCAATATCAAATTCACGTGGGTTTGGTGAGGATTAAACAGATAATTTCTGTATACCATTAAAAGAGTAAGATCCTGCTGAGTGAATAAACTTATTATAGGGATGCTTGATTCCATATATGGTAGAGTGAAGTCAACTCTTCCAGAGCATATCAACCAGGGTCTTTGTCCTGTAATTGGAATAAATCAAGACACAGTGAGAAGAGGGGGCTGGAGACTCTTTCAGGAGGCCAAAGAGTCTCTTGGTGTTGCAGTAAAATGTAGAATGGGAGGGAAATTCAGGAATCCTTTCACCAATTCCCTTTCCAGCACTCACTCAAAGGAGCAGAGCAGTTCTGGGGTGAGGCAGACCTGAGTCTGAGTCAGCTAATTCCTAGCTGTGTGACACTGGGAAAATTACTTCACTTCTCCAAACCTCAGTTCTCACATCTACTAAATCAAGACTGATTCACTGATTCCTTCAGCAGATGCTGAGTGGTAGACTTACTCTGTGCCATGAGTCAGGGAACTGGAAAGCTAAATGTCAGAGAAAAGTCAAAGATAAGGAAAGTCCCTGCCCATCATGGGGCTTAACGCTAGATGAGGCAGACATAACCAAAATGAACACACAAATAAAATATTCACAAATTGTGTCAAATGTTTTGAGGGGAAGCTGTTTTAGCCAGGAAGTTATACCGGAGGGTGTTATATTTAAGATAAAACCTGGAAGGTGAATGAGAGGAAGCCATGCAAAAAGTGGGGGCCAAAGTTGTGGCCACAGGGAACAGCTTATGAGACAGTCTATGGGAAGAAAAAGCTTGAGACATTCAAAAAGTCAGTGGAGGGCCAATGGATGGCGAAAGCAGTTGAGAAGAGTAGTATTTACTTCAAATGGTTGTTGTGCATATTAACTGAGAGAGCACATGTAAAGCATTAGTTCATAGCTCACCTTTCTAGACATTGACAGTATAGCCCAGGGGCAAAAGTCCATTTACCTGTTCAAGTAGAATTATAAAACCTCTGCGTTCTCATCTTCCCTCAAGCTTCCAATTCTCCTCAAACAAAGCAAACACCTCATCCTCCAGCACATTCTAAGATAATCAATATCATAACCACTGGCTCAATTATTCACTTCCCTTGAGTTTAGAAGACCAACATAAATCTCCTGCAATGAACTCTCATTTTGCTATTGTCTTAGATGATTGACAGCTCTGTTCCTAACAAAGAAATTACTCTAGAAATGGACAAAATTAGCCAACAGAGAGTCGCCTTCACTCTCTGAAGCCTGATTAGAAATATATTTAGGTGAAATAGAATAAAAGAATTGCCCACATTTTCTGGCTTAATAAGCATCCATTAACCAAAATCACCCATAGCAGGAATGATATTTTTGCAGTTAATGACACCAAATGATTTCCCCTGGAAAGAGGACAAGAAGATCACTCTTTGGAAATAATTGAACCACACAAAAAGTATCAATGAAATATGATATTAATCCTTCTGGTTAATTTGCAAGTTGTAGTTAAAAGCAATAGGTTGGAGGAGGACAGAAAACCAAGTTGATTAATAACACCTGTAAGGATTCTTGGTCTGCAGTAAAGTCAGGGAAAGGATGTCTCCCAAGGTCTGGCACACAACCCCAGGCATGATGGATGCCTTGAAAGAGACAAGAAAGAGTAAGGAGACTGGTAGGAAGGGAATTGAGAGATTGGGATCAAGTAGTGGTACTCATATTACCACCAAGCTGTGTGTGCCAGCAACCAGATCTCCCAAGTCTGAAGCTGTGATCCATAGCATTTGTCTATTTCTTTTAAAAATGCTGTTTATTTATATATATTTTTTATTTTAAAGATGTTGGAATCCATTTCTATAGTGTAAATATGTCCACCATGACCAATTCCATGCTGCCAACACACTACCTCTGAATTTGTACTGGGAAGAAATCTGCCCAAACAGCTGTGCCCTAGCACACCACTGCCACTAAGGGACTCCCCTGGGACAAGGATCTTTATCCACTTTGGTCTTATTTCATTGATTCACTCCTTTTCCATCAGGTACAACTATTCATACTATCTTTCATTCATCCAGTCAACTACATATTCACTTATTATGTTAGTTATGATAGCAGAGGCTGTTGGTGCCCTGCGGATATTAGCAGCTTCTGGAGAACGGTCCTCATACAAACCAAAGGCTTCCTCACTCACACACCCGAATCTCTCTGCTGATGACTTTCTTAGGTAGCAT